GGGATTCGAACATGGGATCTTCCCATAACGTTTGGTAAGGGTGACAACTAGACCACTTCACTAAGTCGCCACACCTCCGACTAATATTGTTTAATTACAAACAAAAGAAGAATTTAATTTGAATTGGTATCAATTTTTTGATACTAATACAAACAAACCTCATATTCTTAGCTATCTTGAAGAAATTTAGATACTATAGAAAGAGAAATTTGTAAAGGTGTAGACTAATAAATTTCTTCATTTAGAAACTACTGTAACTTCTCAAGTTGAAGATGATTATGCAACAATTAAGACATATCTACATACATTAGCAGGAGATTTTCATAATATTTATATAAAAATTTTCTTGGCAATAGAAACTAAAAGAAAGAAAGAAATACTATAACTGTATCTGAAAAAATTCATCTTCTAGTTTTTGCAAAAAATAATTCATTATATGCAAATGTTAAGGGCAAACTTTTTACTTTTTTGTCCTTAGAAAAGTGGATAAGCAATATTAAAGGATAAAATGTGCTACTATACAAGATCCTTTACCACTATATACTAAATTATTTTCAAGTACAATGGAACTACCTTGTGCTTATAAGATTCAACTTCTTGAAAACAATCAAGTTTTAATATTTGATGATTTTTATAAACATTGATAGCTTCAAGATTGCTCTCTAATACAAACTATTGAAGCAAATACTTACAAAATACAGTCTCTTTTAACAAACCTTAAAAGAAAAGTATGAAGAATAGCCTAAGCATCAACAGGCAGCTATACAAAAGAAATTAAATAATATTATTAATACTCCACTGATAATTTTGCAAAATCCTCAAGTTACTCATACTAGAGGAAGACCTCTTGGTGTTTATAACTACCAAACAAATAACTCAACAAGAAGAGATCTTTCTGGGTATAAGTTAGTAGAACACAAAGTAAGGAAATGCACTTATTGCAAACAGCCTGAACACTATACCAACTTTGCAGAAACCTCTGATTTTGCTAAATATATTTATTATATAATAATTATATAATAATTATATAGTTAAAATATTGTTAAAATATTGTTAAAAACTTAATATTCTATTAACTTACTTATAAGTATATTTTTAATAGCTCGT